CCTGCTTCAGGCTTCCCGCGAATTAAATGTTCGCGGGAAGCAGGGGAGGGGGCGGAGACTTGGGGAGGGGGCGGAGTTGGGGCGGGGGCGGGGCCCCCGGGAGTGTCCTCCATTAGGAGGCACAAAATATGGTAACCCTATACACAGCTGCATGCTGCTCCAGCTGCCAGCCAATCCCCCAGCCAGCTAAGCCTGCCAGGAAAGCTGCCCCTGCCCCCTCCCATGCCCACTCTGCCCCTTCCCCGTAGCCCCCGCCCCTGCTCTGCCCCCACCCTGCCTCTTCCCACCCCTGCTCCGCCCCAGCCCCACCCCCACTCTACCCCTTCCCCTGATCTACGTCCCAGGGGACTGCAGCAGGGGTCGGGCTTGCCCTGCACTCACCGAGCAGCGGAAAGTGGAGCGACCTGGCCCCAGTCTGCTCCGTGCCGCTGGTGAGTGCTGGGGGGTGGTACCCCCCCTGCCCCCCCAAGGCTGGGAGTCAGGGGAGCTGAGTGGAGCGGGCTGGGTCACTCCACTTCCCACTGCCCCGTGAGTGTGGGGTTTGGCCCGCCCTGCAATCACTGGGCAGTAGGAAGTGGAGCGACCCAGCCCCAACCTGCTCCGCTCTGCCAGCTTGTTCTGGGGGGTGGTTTTCCCCCAAGCCTTTTCCTGCCCCCCTCAGACCTTGGGTGCAGCCTCCCTCACACTGTGGAGGCCTGGGTCCAGCCCCTCCCCCCACAGGGGGAGTCTGTGTAGGGCACCACAATGTCTAGGGATGGTCCTGATGGTCAATACCTGTTTAGTAAGCATGGTGCCTCTAGTGCTCTTGCTACTAAGATGGATCATCTTTCTTATAACCAGTCTTCCTATAAGTGGCTCTGCACTTAATTTTTTTGCAGTGTGGACAAGAGCACTCCCACTGTGCCTGGATTACTGGTTAGTACAGTCCACCTCTCCCGCAGCAATCACAGAGTGCATTGTCCTAACGTGTTCTTTCTGTTTCTGGGTTTTCTATGGCATGTATCCCTGTAGTATTTAATGCCTTGATGCAGCAAGTACTCAGTTGTGAGTAGTCCCATTGTGTTAAATTAATGTAGGATTGAGAGCACAATTAGGCAGCATGGTAAAGAGGTGGGTGTTCAAACATGGTTTAACCACAGCTGAGACAAGTTGGCTGGAGTGTGGACACAGCTCAAATGGCATCTGTTGTAACTGAATCAGCTGAGCATTGCAAACAAAATCCATTTTGACTGTTAGTATGAACAGGGCCTAGTAGAGGAGAATCCTCCTTGCTTTGCTCTGTGGCTGTTTTTGGGAATGTTCCTGTGTGTGAGTAGTGCTGTATTTATTTGTTGACCTGTAGGTGGTGGTGGTTTGTTCCTTTTACTGTATAAGGAACATTACTTTTTGTATTTTATTTTTGGATGGCAGTTTGACCTTTTCAGGATCTCTTTAAAACTTCTCATGTTTTTATTCTAAAGAGAATATTTATAACACTTCTGTAGAAACTGATATTTTTTCCTGTGTAGGTCAGCAACTTCTCTATTCAAGTGAATTGACCTGCATTGCTGCTGCCCATCCCACACAAAATGAAATAGCTGCAATCTGAAGCAGTGTCACCTATATTTCTGTGTGATATCTGTGAGAAACTAAACATGTAAAAAGTTCAGTTACTTCAGCTGCTGCTTCTCCTTTTTGCCTGCTGTGTGATTGCTCCTAGAGCCCTGGACATTCCCCAGTGTCTTTATTCAGTCAAGTTTAGCGGAATTTATCACGTCCCTTGCATAATAGATCTACCATAAGGGCATTTTTTGTTATTCCCTTTTTTCCTCCCATTTTCCCCTTCTTATTTTCTTTCCATTACTCCTAGTTACAGTCCTTTATATCACCCTAAATGTTTTCTCTTCCTCCATGATGTTGATATCCTTCAAATACTTGCGCTTGGCTATGATATCTTCACTGTCATCTAGGGTTGCCAGGTGTCCAGTTTTCGACTGGAATGCCTGGTCAAAAAAGGACCCTGGTGGCTCCAGTCGGCACTGCCGACTGCACCGTTAAAAGTCCAGTCGGTGGTGCAGTGGGGGTCCGGGGCTAAGGCAAGCTCCCTGCCTGCCCTAGCTCCGTGTGGCTCCCGAAGTGGCTGCCAGGTCCCTGCAGCCTCTAGATGCATGGGCATCTAGGGAGGCGCCATGCACTGCTCCTGCCCTGAGGGCCAGCTCTACAGCTCCCATTGGCTGGGAACCATGACCAATGAGAGCTGAGGGGCAGCGTCTGAAGGCACAAGGGCAGCGGGCAGAGCCGCCCTGGCTGCCCATGCACCTGGGGGCTGCAGGGACCTGGTGGCCACTTCCTGAGAGCCAGGGCAAGCACTGCCTGGACCCTGCACCCCAAACCTCTTCCCCAGCCCAGAGTCCCCTCCTGCATCCAAACTCCCTCCCAGAGCCCACACCCTCCCAACACCCTGCCCCAGCCCTGAGCCCACTCCTGCACCCCAAACCCTCATCCCTGGCCCCAGCCCAGAGCCCGCACCCCCAGCCGGAGCCCTCACTACCACCCCCGCACCCTAATCCCCTGCCCCAGCCCAGTGAAAATGAATGAGGATGGGGGAGAGCGAGGGACGGAGGGAGGGGGGAGATGGAGTGAGCAGAGGTGGGGGCTTGGAGAAGGGGCAGGTCCTCGGGGAATAGGGCAGGGCAGGGCTGTTTGGTTTTGTCCGATTAGAAAGTTGGCAACCCTACTGTCATCTTTTAGCAAAAACACAGACTTTAGGCCCAGTCTTGCAATGTGCTCCACATGGGCGCAGAGGCCTGTCTGCATAGAGCTCATGGCAGGATAAGGGCCTTAATTTTTCATCTTGTCTCATAGAGTGACTCTCCCTAGGCCTTTGCTCATTTGCATTGATTATCTTTAAATCAATGCAAATGATTGATCAACCTCATCAAAAAACTTGCACAGATACAGACAGACTTCGTCTTCCTCTCCAAGTGTGAACAGATGGACATCATATCAAATGGACTGAAGGTAAAAAATCCATTGCAATCGACATACTACACTTACTATGGTGAGAGATTATGCCACACACTCTCAAAGAAACTGAGGAACCACCTGATCAGCATCCTGTACAGCAAACAGGAGAAGATCGAGAATGAGCTCTCAAAACTGGAGACTCTCATACAAAACCAACCTTCCACACAAACTTCCACGTGGCTGGACTTTACGAAAAGGAGACAAGCCATTTACAATGCACACTTTACTTTTCTATAGAGGAAAAAGAACAGTAAACTATCTAAACTCCTACATGCCACAAGGGGCTACAACAGTGGTACCCTTAACTCACCCAACAATATTGTTAATCTATCCAACCACACACTTATCCTGGCAGAAAAGTCTGTCCTATCTCAGGGACTCTCTTTCTGCCCTACCACCCTCACAAACATGATACAGTTCTGCGGTGATCTGGAAGACCTACTTTCGCCGCCTCCGACTCAAGGAATGTTTTCAACACACCACTGAACAGTTCACTGACCCCACAGGAACCATCCTACCAACACTACAAGAAGAAGAATTCTGCGTGGACTCCTCCTGGTGGTCGAAATGACAGACTGGACTTCTACACAGAGTGCTTCCACAGACGTGCACAGGCTGAAATTGTGAACAAACAGCATCGCTTGCCCCATAACCTCAGCCATGCAGAATGCAATGCCATCCACAGCCTCAGAAACAACTCTGACATTATAATTAAAGGGGCTGACAAAGGAGGTGCTGTAGTCATCATGAACAGGTCAGAATATGAACAGGACGCTGCCAGGCAACTCTCCAACACCACATTCTACAGGCCACTATCCTCCGATTCCACTGAGGAGTACCAAAAGAAACTACACCATCTGCTCAAGAAACTCCCTGCTATAGCACAGGAACAAATCTACTCAGACATACCCCTAGAGCCCCGACCAGGGGTATTCTATCTGCTACTCAAGATCCATAAACCTGGAAACCCTGGACACCCCATCATCTCAGGCATTAGCACTCTTACAGCAGGATTATCTGGCTATTTGGACTCTCTCCTCAGACCCTACGCTACCAGCACTCCCAGCTATATTCGAGACACCATGGACTTCCTGAGGAAACTACAATGCATTGGTGATCTTCCTGAAAACACCATCCTGACCACCAGGATGTAGAAGCTCTTTACACCAATATTCCACATGAGGATGGACTACAAGCTGTCAGGAACAATATCCCTGATGAGGCCACAGCATACCTGGTGGCTGAACTTTGTGACTTTGTCCTCATCCACAACCATTTCAGATTTGGGGACAACTTCAAGTCAGCGGCACTGCTATGGGTACCCGCATGGCCCCACAGTATGCCAACATTTTTATGGCTGACTTAGAACAACGCTTCCTCAGCTCTCGTCCCCTAGTGCCCCTCCTCTACTTGCACTACATTGATGACATCTTCATCATATGGACCCACAGGAAGGAGGCCCTTGAAGAATTCCACCTGGATTTCAACAATTTCCACCCCACCATCAACCTCAGCCTGGACCAGTCCGCACAAGAGATCCACTTCCTGGACACTACAGTGCAAATAAGTGATGGTCACATAAACACCACCCTATAATGGAAACCTTCTGACCGTTATACTTACCTACATGCCTTCAGCTTTCATCCAGACCACATCACACGCTCCATTGTCTACAGCCAAGCCCTAAGATATAATCGAATTTGCTCTAATCCCTCAGACAGAGACAAACATCTACAAGATCTTCATCAAGCATTCTTAAAACTACAATACCCACCTCGGGAAGTGAGGAAACAGATTGACAGAGCAAGACGGGTACCCAGAAGTCACCTTCTACAGGACCAGCCCAACAAGGAAAATAACAGAACACCACTGGCCATCACGTACAGCCCCCAGCTAAAACCTCTCCAGCACATCATCAACTATCTACAACCTATCCTGGAAAATGATCTCACTCTCACAGACCTTGGGAGGCAGGCCAGTTCTCACTTACAGACAGCCCCCCAACCTGAAGCAAATACTCAACAGCAGCTACACACCACACCACAGAAACACTAACCCATGAACCAATCCCTGTAACAAACTTCATTGCCTACTCTGTCCCCATATCTACTCTAGCGACACCATCAGAGGACCCAACCACATCAGCCACACCATCAGCGGCTCATTCACCTGCACATCTACTAATGTGATATATGCCATCATGTGCCAGCAATGCCCCTCTGCCATGTACATTGGCCAAACTGGACAGTCTTTACATAAAAGAATAAATGGACACAAATCAGACATCAGGAATGGTAACATACAAAAGCCGGTAGGAGAGCACTTCAATCTCCCTGGACATTCTATCATTCTATAACAGATTTAAAAGTAGCCATACTTCAACAAAAAAACCCTTCAAAAACAGACTTCAAAGAGAAAGAGCTACAATTCATTTGCAAATTTAACACCATTAATTTGGGCTTGAATAGGGACTGGGAGTGGCTGGCTCACTACAAAAGCAATTTTCCTTCTCTTTTGATATTGACACCTCCTCATCAATTATTGGGAGTGGATCACATCCACCCTGATTGGGTTGGCCCTGTTAGCAGTGGTTCTCCACTTGTAAGGTAATTCCCTTTTCTTCGTGTGTCAGTATATTTATGCCTACATCTGTACTTTTCACTCCATGCATCTGAAGAAGTGGGGTTTTTTACCCACAAAAGCTTATGCCCAAATAAATCTGTTAGTCTTTAAGGTGCCACCAGACTCCTCGTTATTTTTTTGAATTCCACTACTACCTGTGTTCTGTTTCTCTAGTACTGAGACAACCACACCTGGAATACTGTATTCAGTTGTGTGTAACTAGACTCTTTTAATGTATGTGGCAGTAGGTGGAATGGTTTATTGCATTGGCTGGGATGTTTAATTGAATTGGTTGTTTCTTTATATATGGATTGAGGTGGTGGAGATAAAAGGAGAGCCCTGAAAAAGTGGCCTCTGTTTCAATTTATAGAAATGCCAACTTGTCCTCAGCATGGTGGCGAAAGGTCTGTGATACCCTTATACTCTACTGGGGAAGTCTAGATCCTTACCCACCCTAGGGACCCTGAGGGATCAGTAAGGAGTTACATGATGAGAGGGTGATGTAGGCTCATTGGTGATTGGGGTCTCTGATTCCTATTGATGAACATGGAAAGGCAGGGTAGGCTGAGGCTTTCTCATAGATCCAGTTTGCCCATATGTCTCACTAGTATCGTTTGAGATCATTCCTCAGTATGATAGGGAACTGGCTGGCCGTGACCTTGCCCTTTCTGTTCATGTTGTTCAATGCAAACTTGGTGATGAATCAAATGATCACTATCCATCATTTGCTTGTGGATGAGGCCCTGACTGCTTCTATAACTAAGACTGGGCTGAATGATACAGCAAGCTTTGTGTTAGCACCTCTATAGATTATTTTTTTTTTTTTTTTTTGTGCATGCGCTGAGAGATGGTTAGGAAAGAAGCTGTAATAGTCTGCAACTGATTTTAGATGTACAAAACCAATTGGTGTAGAAATTGAACAATAAACACAAGTGCCCAATCTCTCCTAATACGAGAACAAGGGAATATTCAACCAATTTGAAGGGCAGTAAATTTAATATAGATAAAAGGAAACACTCTTTAATCCAGTGCATAGTAAGCCTACAGAACTCAATGCTACAATGGAATTGAAACTGAGTTTAGCAGGCTACCAAAAAAAAAAAATACATCCAGGATTGGGATTTATATAGTTAATGAAAACATCAGAGTTTCAATTATGAAATTTTTTTAAACTTTATTTTTTTAGAAGGGGTAAGCCTCATGCTTAGAGGTTTATGCCAGTCTTTACCTGCTAGAGGTAACAAATGAACTGTCCTATGGACAGATTTGTTTCAAAGTTTCTTGTTGCAGGGTTTCTTGTATCTTTCTCTGAAATATCTGGTACTAATCACTGTCAGACAGGGTACTGCACTAGATGGATCATGGGTCTGATCTCACATGACAATTCCTATGTTCCTACAACCTTCCCCCCCCCCCTCAGAAACAGACTTGATAACTTTGCATTCCTGGGACAAGTTTAAAGTTGAAATAGCTGCATGACTGAATCTCAGACTGACTTGAGAGTTTTCATGCAGGCTTATTCTCTTGAGTAACTTCACTCCGTAAAGGTGACTCAGGAACTCATGACAACCATGAGTTTGTCCCAGATGCATACATGGTACAAATGAAATCATGGCATGTAGTTTGGAATCTTGTGTTTGGACTATGATAGAAGTTTAGGTGGGTGGCTGAGGATTACCTTTGTTAGTCTGTCATTACCTTTGGTTTGAAGTTAGGACTCACCTTTACCCCCTTTCCAAGCACTGATTTCAGCTGTTAAAAGTGGACCTAGGATCAGTTTTAGTTCTCTCTAAGGAGGCACTGTACAGTCTGTGGACCAGTCTTTTGAATGGCTAGCAGGACATCATAACCATCTTGTCCTTCAGTATCAGTATGGTGTATACTAAATGTCCTCTCTCAATAGATCATCCTCCCAGGTCACCTTGGTATACTGGTGACAGATGATGCATGTGGTATGGAGGTTAGAGGGGCAGTCATTTCATTCTAACTACACCATGTAATGTTCTATGCCATGGCTGCTGTAGAAGTGAAGAAAGATGTCAATGCAGAGAAAAAAAGCGAAGTCTTACCCAGCTGAAATGATGTGGGAGGGTCGTCGTATATGAAAAATTAGTTTTGGGGGGTGAGGGGAGTGTTCAAATGTTGGCAACTGTTACAGGCACAGAGCTTATGTTCCTATAAAAAGATAAGCTAAGCTAACTGCAACGGAACAGGTAAACCTATATATCCTAACTGGAGAAGTGCATAAGTTTATTAGGTTAAAAAAAATGTAAATCCAGTTCAAATGACTGGCATAAATAGGCTGGAACAAACTATGCCAGGGAAATCAAAAGGATATTACAAAGATCCAGAGATACAAAGGTCAATAATTCTTCAAATACGTTAGAAGCAAGAAGGTTACATGTGTTGCTTTCGTACTTTGCTGTGTTTAAATTCTCAACCTTGATGTTGTCTTAGCATAATTACAGGCAAAAATCCTCCTTTGTTTAATACAGAAGAAAAAATATTTTACAGTTTGAAGCAGTGTTCTCCAGTGGATAGATTCTGCACATAAGCTGCACTTAAAACCTGATGACTGCACAGAAATGGAACCTTAACAAACTGCAGTTACATGTTTTGCTTAAAAATATCTATAGTTTATAGATTTCCTTATGTTTTATAATTGTGCAAAATGTTGCGTGTTGCATCACATCTGCTATAATAGATTAAGCATACGCAGTGCAGTTCCACTTTCCTGCCATTCAAGAACAACTAAATTTAAATACAGAGCATATGCCAACATGTAAAACATAACCTTGGTCAAGAGTTTCAAAAGTGACTAGTGATTATGGGACACTGTTTTCCAAAGGCAGGTGACCAGAACTTCCTGAAACTCAGGCTCCTTCAAAGTATCTCAGGTTGAGCGCCCAAAAATCACTAATCGTTTTTGAAAATTTTTCCAAAAGAAGGTCTGGAAAAACATTTTAGAGGGAAAAATTTCTTTCCCCATGCTTACCTAACTCTAATGGATTTTTCTCATACTATCTAAACCTTATCTTTTGCTGAGACTCTGGGTTAAACTGAGCTGGTATAAAAGTGTGGAACGCCTTTGAAGTTACTGGAATTGTACCCACTTACATCAACAGAAAATTTGGTCCATTATATATTATCTTAAATGAAAATATTTGGGAAATTAAAACCACTTAAAGAACCCTAAGAAGAGGTTGAAATGAAAAGCTCTTCTCAACCTTAACTACAGTGTGCTTTACATGACTATAGTGCCTTTCTTCTCAGGAACTCAAAGCGCTTTACAAATATGAATGAATTTAGCCTCACAACATCCCGTGAGGTAGGTAAGTATTATCCCCGTTTTACAGATGGGGAAACTGAGGCAGAGTTCGGAAGTGACTTGCCCAGGGTCACACATCTTGTCAGTGGCAAAATCAGGCACAGATTTCCAAGAGTCCTGAGTCCCAGTCCTCTGCTCTCTTATATTCCCTCCCTACTACTACAAAGCAAGCAATATATGCAGCTTCTTTTCCTTCCTTGGTCTCACCATGACTACAGAGGCGGTAGAAGTGAATTTATTTACTCCTGGCTGAATTCCTGCTTTCTTTAGTAGAAGCACTTTGTCTGACAGTATTAAGTGCTCATTTTTTATTTCTGCAGAGTTGTTTCTTCCAGAATGTGGTAGAGAGAGGATTTCTTAAGTCAGGTTTCTCCATACCAGAGAGACTGTACAGTTTGCAACAGGAAGTGGAGAATCCTATTTCTTGCAGAAGACCTGCTGTTTGGCATTCTTCACACGCTGTTCCTCCTTCAGGTTCATCTGGCGTGCGTGTTTGCTGGAGATTATTTCCACATGCTCTGAGGGAAACCAGCCTCTCTCTCCATCTGAGAGTTTCACTCCTTCCATCCAGCCTGCAGGGGTAGAGGCAGACACAGAGAACATGGGACAAACTGGCTGAGATTTCCCTTTTCCCACCCCCAAAAAGCCCCATCCTAACTGAGCAAGCTAGAACAAGACATAAGCCAAAAAGAGATCCCCTTGCAACCTTCAAGCCACATGGTCTATTTGTTTAATGGTCTAATTGAGACCCCGGATAATAGGCAGGCAAGATATGTTCTGAGAAGAAAGCTTCCCTCTCCATCCCTTATATAGCCTAATGGCCCTGTCATCAAAGAGATGACTCAGTTTTCACCCCCCTTCTCCAAGAAGATCACCGCTTGTTCCACTCACCGTCGTTGCTGTTCTGCATGACCATGATGATATCTGCTTTCTCCAGAGCCAGCTCGTCATTCTCCCGAGCTTTGTATGTCCGTATGCACTGAACCTGAGGTGAGTCTGAGAGAGAGAGAGAGAGAGAGAGAGGGGTGAAGAGCGTGAGCAGGCTGGAGGAGTGAGAGGGATTGCAAGTGTTGGGTACCGCATTCTCCCCAAGGAAGGAAGAACATGAGGGTTGGGCACAACACCTGAGGGATGAGGGAGACACCTTTAGGGTGAGGCCCAGCATCTGAAAAGTGGGGAGATGGAAGAGCACTCGTGTTAGGGGTGACACCTGTGATGAGTGTCTAAAGCTGTGGAGGGGATGGGGAAGATAGAGACGGAGGGGCATCGTCTGGAGATGAGGGGGGGCGGAAACGAGTCAAGTTTGACATTTGTAAAATAAGTAAAGGGGAGGGTGAATGTTCCTCTTCAGATTCACTCCTACGTCCATGTTACCCTTATATCTTCCTCCTCACTGGGACACAACTCTGTCCCCTAGGCAAGTCCTCCCACCCAGGCCTGCAGCGCCTGAGCAGTCTCACCAGGGTTTTCTAAGAGATCCGGTTCTCCTCGTGGTGGCGCCAGAGCGGAGATCCACCGCAGCTTCTCACTGCTGGAAAATACCAAAATACAGATGCTGGAGAGATAAGAGTGGAGGAGCCAGGGATATTGAGGGTGGGGGCGGTGTTTGTGTAGGGAGGGATTGGAGAAAAGAAGTGCCTGCCACCACCTCTTGGGGAAGTGAAAGAGAATGCTAAATGGGGAAAGTGAAGGATTAGTGAGAATTTGGGGCTAAATGAAGGAGGGAAGAGAAAGGGGTTGAAAAAATGATTTCCCCCATTTTGGGGGTTGATACCCCAGATACGGTGTTAGGAGCTTGAGATATCTGCCTGGGTAGTTGTTCAATGGGGTAACTGAGAAGAGGGTATGGAACAGGACAAGGGTACAGGACGGGGCGGAGAAAGATGACTCAGTGGATGGGATTAAGGGGTCAAGATGACAGCGCGTTGGGATAATTGGAAAGTGTGGTGGGAGGCTTGCAACTTCATTGTAAGAGAGTGTCCTCTAGGTCTCAGAAGCAGCAGGGGATGTTGGGCATTTAGGCAGCTGAGAGAGGTATAGGGTTTTGGCAGCTGCAACCATATGTATAAGTGGTGTTAGGATTCAGTGGGAATAATCTCTGGCTCTTACTGTGTCTCTGTACGAAAGAGGAATTGCACGCTTTTCCCTTGGTTGTTCTTAAGGAGAAAAAGGCGGAAAAGGTTTTTGTTTGTCCCGTGCAGCTTCATCTCACACTTCTCCCCACGTACATCTGAAAATGCAGCATGATCAAACACGACAAAGCGCCCACCCCTAAAGGGAAAGAGAGGGGGAATTAGAAAAACTGTGTTAGGTTTAGAAGTCACGTACACAGGATAAAACATTGGGGTTTGGGCTCTTTCTTGCTGCTTTGATAGGTCAAGAAGGTTTAAAAGGGGTGTGTGTGGGGGGGGGGAGGGGGAGTTCCACCTTAAACATAAAAAGTCTCATCTTCTCTGCCTTTGTTAGAGGTCTTCTTGGAGGACCAGAGAATTGGAACAGGATTTTACTTGTCCCTCAATGGAAGGGACAGGATTGTTTGAATCTGTCTGACCATTTTTCTCACAAGTGTTCATCAGACGCTGGTTAAATATTTTACAACTTAAAAAAAAAGAGTCTGGACTAAAGAATCCCTTTCCCTCAACTACTCAGGTTTCAGGTTCTTGTCATGCCATATTCCCACTGGTTCTCCGGTCATCCATACAGTCCTTAAGCTAAAACAGGCTGGGAGAGAAATGCGTTAGCCTTGAACAAAACTAGACTGAACTAAGTTATGCTGTGAAGTATAAAGGGGGTTAGGTGCAAAGGGGAGGAAGATATGTAGAACGACATAAGAATGCTATAATTAAGAGTTTGGAAGTGAAGGTACTGCATGATGAAGCTTGCAGGCTGTTCATGAGATGTGAGAGTGCTAAACTGAGCAGTCTAGCCAATAAAGGTTGCCATCTGCTGGCTGGAATCTGAGGGGGAAGGGATGCTGCCTCACCAACATCCCCACCCCTTTCTGGACCCGCAATTATAGAGGTCAGTGAGAGGTGCAGTCTGGGAGACTCACTCCCTGGGCCGGGACAGGAGCAGGCAGTCATTGAAGAGGTGCAGGTAGATGTGGCGGGTGGTGAGTTTCCACTTGGGGCTCAGAGTGTTGTCGTCCAAAGTCATCAGCTCACCACACTTCACCAGCCGCCTAGACTGCGAGACCAGTGGGAATATCTGTGAGACAGGGAAGAATGCCATGATCAGATACCCATGGAAGTTGGTGCATTAGGGCTGGAACCCCTTCTTGAAGGCATAAGGTGAGGTTGCTCTCATAGCCCCTGTTGTAGGTGGGCAAGTTGTGACCTGAATCCGCTGCTTCCAACCCCAGGATGAGGTAGATGAATTGGGTAGATTCAAAACTTGTCATCCCTGGCATAATGCAGGGGAGTAGACACCAGAATCAGCTCTCGCTCCCATCCTTGTACAGGGGTGAGGTGCTGGGATAAGAGGGGTCAAGTTACTGAGCAACCCAAGGGGAGTGTCTCACCTTGTACTGCAACTCTATTTTCTGTGAGCTCTGTATTAGTTCACCAGTGCTCCTCGGGTATTGGAAAATACAGGGTGGGGTGGGAGACGACAGACTGAGTGTGCAGTGATGAGTTAGTGGTGTTGGGTCTGGGTAGTAGGTAGGACTAAAGTAGAAATCGGAGCGGGTGGGTTCTTACCTTGCACTCAAAATCAATCTTTTGTCTTAGGTAGATCAATTCCTCAGTGCTCTTCATGCGCTGGACATTTTCGTTGCAGTCCTTTATGAGCTGCAGAGGGGAAGGAGGAAGAGGTTGTTGGGAGCGGATAGAATAGATATAGATGGCACAACCCTCAGGGTTCTTTCTCCCAGAACCTCATTTTCCAAAGAGCGGATGGATGCTGTGCTTTCTCGGCCAAACAGTTTTACTCACTGTGGAGGTTTAGTCCCTGATATTGAGTTCCGCTCTGAGTGAGGAGTGCTGTTGTCATGTCTCAGTTACTGCAACCTCCTTATGTCTGGTTTTGACAAATCCAGTCTTGTCCTGCTCCGAGCTGTTAAGGATGTTGCTGCAAAGAGCACTCTCCTCGCCTGTTGCTTTGACCATGACACCCCTCACTCTGCCTTGCTGTACTGGCTCTCCCTTCTGTAGCACATCAGACCTAAGGTACTTGTCTTCTACATTAAAAGCCTTTCACAGCCTCTCCCCACCCTAGCTAGCATCATGATACTACCTATCATTCAGTATCAAAGGGTCAACTCCTGCCTCCGATTGGCTGTCCACCTCCACTACCCACTTGTTAAATTTTCAAACAAACACCTTTAGGCTTGGGTGGCACTCCTGTAAACATTTGCAGAACTAGTTCATTATCCACCTTCAAGTCCCTCCTTTGCTGGTGATGTCTACAAGAAACTCAACAATGGTTAGGCTGCTGGTATATTAAGATCACAGCCTAGCATGCTATTGTTTCCTTGTGCTCCCATCTGTTGTCTCTTGTCTTATACTTCGTTCCAGCCCCAGATAGCTTACAGTATGTCTTTGTCCTGTGTTTGCACAGCACCTGGCCCAAAGGGCTACTGGGTGCTACAATAATACCAGGATCTATGGAGAGCAATAGATGCACCAAAATACTGTTGCCTGTTGGGAATTGGGGCAAGTCACTGGTCATTTGGGAGCAATACTTACTACAGGCAGTATCTCAAGCATACAGGAAGCTGGGGGGTTATTAGATAATACTTAACCACAAACTCCACCTTTGCATGGTCCTGACCCACCTCCTGCTCCACTAAATCTGTTTCCTATCCACACACGAGAAGGATGTTCTTTAGCCTTAAATATAGAGCTGTCTAATGTGGTTGAAACCCAGCAGCTGCTAATAGTGCATGGCAAGGTGGATTTACAGAAGAAGGGAACAACATTCTAATGGGCAGAACTAGCTCAAGTACAATCTAGGACCCACTTTGCTGCAAGGTGTAGGATTCAGTGTGTGACATTCTTGCCCCCACCCAACGGTCCCAAATTCCTATGCTCTATAGCTGCTCTTCTGTGGGAGACTCAGTTCTATGAGACTTGAGCAGGGGTGAGATTGGATAGGAGAGCGTGCACACCATGTCCAAAAAACAATCTGAGCAATTGTAGGGGTGGAGAATACCTGCAACGAGGGGGTGGCATCACGATTCCTCAAGGAACTCAAATTATTGCCCTGTTTATCTTAGTGCATAGTGACCAACCAAGAATGGCATCCCATTGTGCCAGGCACGGTACCAACACAAAGTAGTAGACAGTCCTGCCCCGAGAGCATCAGTCTAAATAGACACAGGTTAGGGGAAAGGGATACAGCATACGGATTGATGATTGTGCAAGTGGTATGTGAGTGTCATGATATGTGGGGGAGGAGAGGGGGCGCGGTGGGACAGATATGGCAGTTTCTTGCAATATCCTTGAAAAACCTTATTGAATGAAGTAGCTTTGGAGTTTGTTGCATTAAAGATGCAAAGTTTATGTATTATTGTAGAATTGTACGTAAGTTTTCTAGGGGGGAGATGTGACCCCCATAAACCCTGAGAAGTGTTATAAGCTTCAAAACTTTAAACAATGTGCCAGACAGGAAGGAACCTTTGGGACAAACAAAGTTGAGTGGGTTTTCTAGGAAATACCTGGGAGGAGGTAAATGCAAATTCCCACCTCTGGACCCAACCTTCTGCCATGAGGAGAAACGCATTGTCTGCTGGTTACCTATTCTTGGAATAGGCAGATCAAAGCTCCAAGCTGCAAAAAGGAGGGACTTTTGGTTCAGAACAAGCTCCCCCATGAATTTAACAGTTATTAACTGGTAACCACAGGAAGACCCCTTGGTGGGGTTTGAAGGACTGATCAGCCCCAGTTGGAGTTGGCGGGGGGAAGTGGCGGGGGGAAGCTCTGGTAAGCTTTTTACAATGCGGGTATGTTCCTTTAGTGTTTTTAACGTTTTCTCTGTAATGCTTTCACCTTAAGAAATGTGCTTGTTTAGAAAGGACTGTGTGGTAGCTTGTAACTGTGGGCAATTAGGCTGTTTATAGCCTCTGAAGAGAAAGCAAAGCAGGCCTGCTGAGGCAGTCTGACTTGCAGGGGAACTCATTACAGGCAGGGAACTGTGCAGCCCAGCAAAACCATGGTCAGGAGGGAGTGAGCCGTGGGTCTCTACTTGAGAGATCTGATGGCTGGGGAGCTGGAAGCCTGAGAGTGGGTGCCCTGCTGGAACCACAAGGGGAAAATACAGGTGCAATTGCCCTGAACTGTGATGGAGGTTTCTGTTTAAACCCATTGAGCTAAATGAAAGACAAAGGGAATGAACAGCCAATCAGCACACGAGAGAATGCCTAGAGTGAAAACTAAAGAAAGTAGTGTGACATCATCGTGCCCAACAGCCCCTGCTCTTGCCCTTGGCTCCCTGCTTACACTTCAAGAGCATGTGGCACTAGCACATGAGAAGTAAGATCATGTGAGCATTTCAGTCTGTTCCTGATGGAAGTCCCATGCTGTGGGAGTCCCTGCAGCTGTTTGGTTCACTGCCTAAAGCAGCACTGGCAGGTTGGCAATAACACTGCTAGTGGAGAATGGGCTGGTGCTCCTTACCTTCTCCAGTGCATCATAAGCCTGTGTGGCCTGCACTTCTTCATCCGACTCGGGCGGGGTTCTCTTCAATATATTCTGCAGAACAACCGCAAAAAGTGTCTCAGAACGGAGGCTGAGAGAATGGACCCCCAAGGACAAAAGAGATGGGCAGGTGGATATGGGGGGGGGGCAGGTGTAGGGAGACAACAGGATGAGCAGTGGCAAGGGAGAAATGGGCAGAGGGCCAGGACAGGAGGTGAGCGTGAGGGAATCAGGATAACCAGCGAGCACAGGAATCTGCATGCAGCTCCTGTCTTTGCAAGTGTACTACTAGACTCGAATATCACATGCAATAACTTCTGTAGGGGGGAAATGAACACTAGTCATGGCACAAAACAGCCTAGGTACAATAACATGGTTCTTATTTGTTCAATACTTCTTTCTGTCTGTCCAACAGTAAGGCACATTGAGCACATTACATTGGCTCCTGTTTGCTTCCAAGTGCAGTTCAAGGTATTTTTAAAGCTTTTGGGGAAGGGGAGGGATAGCTCAGTGGTTTGAGCATTGGCCTGCTAAACCCAGGGTTGTGTGTTCAATCCTTGAGGGGGCCATTTAGTAGGGTTACCATACGTCCTCTTTTTCCCGGACATGTCCGGCTTTTCGGCAGTCAAACCCCCGTTCGGGGGGAATTGCCAAAAAGCCGAACATGTCCGGGAAAATGGCGGCTCTGTTTAAGAGCCGGGCTGCCTGAACGCTACCGGCTTCGGGCAGCCCCATGCCTCCAGACCCTGCGCCCCCAGCCGGGCACTTCCCCTCCGGGGCTCCAGCGGCTCTGCGTAACTTACACTGTATAAGTTACACAGAGCCGAAGAGGAGCAGAGCCCCCGCAGCTGGAGGCTCTGCTCCTCTTCGGCTCTGTTTAAGAGCCGGGCTGCCTGA